AAAAAAAAAAAAAAAAGGCCAGCTGGACATCTCTGAAGGAGCCCTTCAGAAACATGTTCCGGGCACCTGGGCGGCCCTTCTCCATTCTGTCACTTCTCTGAGCGCCCTTTTACACCAAGCAAGGGTGAGCACCCGCTGACGGGGCATTCCCTTGCAACGTGTCAAGTCCCCTCTAAAGGCCAGGCGATGCCTTCCACAGGTGCCACAGAGATCAGTCTGCCCCAAGGTGGGGGTGTGTGTGCCTGTTGGGCAAGGGTGGCAGGGTCTGAGATGTTTTGCCATTGAATACTTACATCTTCTCTTCCCAGGGCAAAAGGCTCCCTCCAGAAGAGAAACGGGCAGGATGCTCTCCTCCCGGTCTCCTGTAACATTGGGACCCAGTCGGGCCATCCCCGGAAGCTGAGTGATGGAGATTCAGGAGAGCTAAAAGAGGATACTTCTTCACTCAGTCACACATGGCTAATCTGTGGAACTCACTGCCACAGGGTGCAGGGATGGCTGTCCACTTGGACAGCTTTAAAAGGACACAAGACAAATTCTCAAGTCTCCACTATTGTCCCTGCAGCTGGAGAGGGGGGGGCTGCATGGGTGGTGGGGACCGAGGGCACAAAGAAGCCCCAACCAGAAGCCAGCAAGTCCCTTAGCAGACATGACGGCACCAACCGGATTATCATGCTTGGCTTTGGGGCAAGCATGGGAAGCTCTTGCTGACTTCTGGGACACGTGTGGGATGTGTGCAGTGGCTCAGGACTTGTCTGAGCTCGGCCCAGCTGTGATGTGTGGGAACTCAGATCAATTCAAGAGGGCCCATCTTGACTGGTGGGGCTGTGGGAGCCAGACATGGCTTGCTTTGAGGCACCACGTGCCCCCCCCATCAATTTCAGTCGCCCTGTGAGGAAGCGTGCCGGGAACTCTCCCAGCGGCCACGGTAGGGATGAGAGACGTGAAGAGGGTGACCTTCTAACAGCCAAAGGTCATCTGATGGGACAGGAAAGAGCAGGCCGGCCCCCTTCCCTCTCCCTGGATGTAAGGCAGGGATTTAACCAGAGCAAGAGAGGCCAAGACCTCACCAGGGAGAGTGCGCATGGCCTCCTCGGGAGGAGAGCTCCTCACAGATGCCAAATCTAACTAAAATTGTGGCAGAGTGGGAGTTGGCTAGGAAGAACACGTGGAGGGTGGCATGTACCTTTATGAGCGTGCACGGGAATATGAACGGCCCCAGTAGGAGGGGTGTGTGTGTGTGTGTGGAGGGAAACAAACTCCTTCTTCCATCCAAGCAGGCCCTCCAGGCAGAGCCTCAGGGTGTGAGTCAAGGGTTTAAAAAAAAAAACCCGATGGGGACACCAAACCTCCTCTGGTTCCGGGTGAGGCTCCTTTGAGTTTCATTTCTTGGTTTCATCTTCTCAGCAGGACTGCTGCTTACTTCTAGGAGGTGCAAAGCAGCTCACTTTTGTTTGGCAGTTCCTCACGAGGAGACAAGGCTGGCATCCTCTGGTGCTGCGCTGTGAAGACCCTGCAGCTTTGAAGGGCGGCCCCTTTCAAGGGAAAATGTTTTGCCAGTCTACACCTCCGTGATGCGCTGTGAAGACCCTGCAGCTTTGAAGGACGGCCCCTTTCAAAGGAAAATGTTTTGCCAGTCTACACCTCCATGAGCAGTCTGGGCCTCCCCCCCCCCACTCAGCCAGCCTCTTGAGAGAAGGAAAAGGGTGTCCGTCTGTCACCCCGACCCTTGAGACCGGCAGGTTGGCTGTACCTGCCTTTGCCCCCTACCGGCCTCCCTGCTCTCCCTGTTCACTGCATCTCGGATCTGGAAAACTATTCTCAGGTGTGCAGAGCTGCCGTATAGCTGCCCATTTATATCCTGCTAGCAATGGAAGGTTTGTGTGGGGGGAGACCCTGAGGTCCCAGCTTCAGTTCACAGCCTCTCAAGAAGCTGAGCTGGTGAGGTTTTGGCCTGGCGGCTGAACTACAGGATGGCTGGACTCAGGGGAAGGCAGGCTCCTCAAGTCCTAGAATAATGGAATAAGGGCCCTCCTCTAAGCCCAACCCCCTGCTCAAGGCAAGAAGCCTAATCAAAGCAGAATGGACAGAGGGTTCCCCAACTTTCTCTTGAAGGCCTCCAGCATTGGAGCGTTCATCAGCTCCCTAGGTGATGAACGCTCACCTAGGGTCCCCTTGTCATACTGCTCTAACAGTTAGGACGTTTTTCCTGATATTTAACCAAAATCTAGCTTCCTGTAACGTGAGCCCATTATTGTGTATCCTGCACTCTGGGATGATGAAGAACAGATCCCGCCCCTCCTCTGTAGGACAGCCTTTTAAGTATTTGAAGAGTTCTTGTGATCTTTCTCGCCTGTAGCTTTACTGAGCCAAATGTTCACTTGGCCTGCATCCTTCTGAAAGTGCGGTCCCTGGAATTGGACAAAGCACTCAAGATGAGGCCTAGCCTGTGCCATATAGAGGGGAAGTGGTACTTCATGAGATTCATAAGCTATACTTCTGTTAATGCATCCTAAAATAGCACTTGCCTTTTTTTGCAGCCACATTGCACTGTTGGCTCAGATTCAGCTTGTGATCTACAGCAATTCCAAGGTCCTTCTCACTGATCATTTTAGTGATGTAAGTATCCCCCATCTTGTAACTCTACATTTTTTTATCCCTAGATGTAGAACTTTGCATTTATCCCTATTAAATTTCTTTCTGTTGTTTTCAGTCCAATGCTTATATTTATTAAGCTCTTTGTGAATTTTGTTTCTGTCTTCCAGGGTATTGGCTATTCTACCCAATTCTGCATCATATGCACATTTGGTAAGTGTTCCCCCACACTCCCTCATCCAAGTCATTAATAAAGATGTTGAAGAGGATCCGACCTAAGACTGAACCTTGGGATTCCCCATTTGTTATCTCCTCTTAGTTGGAGAAGCAGCCATTAATCATCACCCTCTGAGTATGACGCTATAGCCAACTGTGTATCCACCTGACACTTGTTTTATCCAGCCCACACCTGGTCAGCTTGCTAATCACAAGATTATGGGGCACTCCATCAAAGACTTAGTTGAAGTCAAGATATATTATGTCTACAGCAGTGGTGTCGAACTGTGGCCCTCCAGATGTTCTTGGACTTCAACTCCCAGAAGCCTTCACCACCACCTCTGCTGGCCAGGATTTCTGGGAGTTGAAGGCCAAGAACATCTGGAGGGCCACAGTTCGACACCACTGGTCTACAGCATTCCCACTGTCTACCAGGGAGGTTACCCAATTCAAAAAAATGATAGAATTCATCTCTTTCTTTAATGCATGTGCACACCGGCCAGCTGGACCAGAGTTTGGGAAAGTCTCTTTTTGCACTGCCAACTCCCAGAATCAAGCCAGGCTGGATCATTCCCAATTGGGCATTCTGGGAGTTGTAGTCCTATAAATTAACTTTTCTAAGATCTGAGTCTCACCATAGGTGAAAACCAAATGATTCTTCCTTCTCTTTTCCCCCTCCAGCTTCTTGAGGGGGGCATCTTATGAGTCCCCTTGAAAGAAACAGGTCTGGGGACTAGAGGAACCCTTGGTCTCATCCTGCAGTGCTCTTCTGCTGGTCTTCACATCACTGCATAGGGTCCAACACTGAGGATGAGTGCAATCCACAAAACCAGGGTGAGAACCACCATCTTAGGGAAGTGGGGCTGCGTCCCTGGGAGGGCCAGGCCTTGGACCTGGGGGAAGGGAGGAGAAAGGTGACAGCTGGGGCAGGGCAGGGAAGGACAGTCTAGCTAGAAGCATGGGAGACTATGTGCGCATGTGTGTGTGTGTCTCCCCAGGTGCATCAAACACACAGGGTGACCCACCAGCTGTGCACACACTACCCTGGAATGTGATGAGATTCGCCATCAGCTATGAACATCTCATTCCTCATAGAAATCATGATCCCTGTCTCTCTCCATGGACACCTGCAGATCAGGACGGAGGTCAAACCGCATGGCGGCCAGAACTTGATAGACAATTTAATAGTGATCTAATTACTGCAGTCCGTAACTAGAAACTGGAACAGCCCGTTAGTCTCCAGTGATAGTACTCCTTCAGAGCCATGTGTTTGAGGAGTCAGTTTTGCAAAGGAGGTCCCCATGGCCAATCATAAAACAAAGCAAACTCATCTGCAAAATACGGGAGGTGAAAAGGACAAGCAGGTATCTTTCAGCACTTAAGGAAGGCCTGGCTCTCAAGATCAGTGGCCTGCACCATCTAACTGCCGCCTTTGGAATAGTGCTTGTCTCTTGTCTGCCCATCCAGCACTTTGTCCTTCCTTCTCCACCTCCTTGGAAGCCGCTGGTGGAACAGTCCAAGGGTCACATCTGGGTGGGTGGGGGTTTCAGGGCATGGTCCCTGTGCTACGTGCGGGAAGACCCTTCCCACATGCTGGGGCTACCCAAGCACCAGGCCAGGCCAGGCCAGCCTCCCTGTTTGTGGCGGTCCTTCCCTGGAGGCATCACATGGGTCAGCCCAAAGAAGAGTCGCCAGACCTACGGGGGCCTTCCCTTGCTCCAACGTCACAAGCAGTTCATGGACGGTTAACTTTGCCTCATGGCTGGGCTTCAGGAAGCCTTTTGGGGAGTGCTAAGGGTGGTCTCTACAGTCCAATGGGGCGGGGCAGGGTGTGGAGCAGGCTAAGCCACCAAGCCCACTTTGGGCCACCCTCTGCCCTGCTGAAGGGAGCAGGCCAATGGGTGCCAGAATGTCCTTCCACCAGGAAACACCCCCCCACTCCCCAGGGAGAGGGAAAATGGGAGAACACGGCCACCTGACGAGGGTCCAGGTGGCAGAGGGGGTCAGCCTGTGCCTCTTGTACAAACTGCAAGTTTTCTGGAAGCAAACAAAGATGGCTGAACCGACGGGTCATCCATTTCCTTAGGGAGGCCCATTCGTTTTCCAAAGGCCAGCCCAGCAAACACAGATGGGGGGGCAGAGAGGAAGGACCTTCCAGGACACATGCCTGGCTCTCCCTCAGGGAACACCTTTGCTTTGTCCCTTCCTGGTCCAGAGCAAAGAAGAACACAAAGTCCGTGCATGGCTAGGCCACCTCGCCCCCTTGGTCCATCAGAAACCAGAGGGCCGCAGGGACTCTCCTGTCGAGCCCTGTCCTGCCCCTCTCCCCCCCCCAAAAAAATCAGAAGGTCGCCAATGCCTGAACCCTGGAAGCAAGAGATCGGCTTTGCCACACATAAACTCAGCCTTTGCATGGACGATGGAGATGAACGCTTGGATTAGGAGCTAAGCGGAAGGTGGGAAATGGGGCAGGGGGATATGTGGATCTGGACCACACTCACATGTTCATGTTGCAAAGCTGGCCAAAGTGGCAAAAGGTCATTTCGCCCACTGGCCGACCAGAAAGGAGAAAGGCAAAGCTTTCCAGCGATCAGTCGAAAGGTGCCGTTCTGCCCAAGGAGGTCTCACATATAAACGGGTGACCTGGGTGTAAGGAGAGAGATGAAAGATGCCAGCGGGCAAAGAGGCCAATCAACTTCTCAACACAGCCTGACATTGGGGGGGGGATGTGGAACCCTCTGTGGCTCTGCAGCAATCCAGTCACCACCTGTATCAACCAATGGGGCGAAGCAGAGCCTGTGGCCGCTCCTCCCTGCCATGCTGCAAGGGGCCAAGATGATCTGCCTCCTGCCCCATTGCCCAACAGCCCTCTCATGCCAAGGGCCGGAGGTGAACGGCAGGGCTGTTGGGCCGGGCAGCCAGAATATAGATGGTGCTCTCCCTCAGAAACGTCGGCCAGTCCACAGTTCGGCTGCAGAGAAGAGAGGGAGAGAGAGCAGGAAGGGGATGGGTTAGCCGGGTGGGACCCAGCCAGCCCTGGACCCCCCATCCACCCCCCACCCACCCCTGGCACAAACTGCTGCTGGAACAAGGAGATCTGCCGGGCACCACGTCAGAAGGTCTGGCGCCATCGGTGGGTGAGGGCCGCCTGGGTGAGCCTGGACTGCATCTGGACCCTGAGAAAGGAACTCTTCCGGACCCCCATCTCAGGGGGTGGGTGGGTGGGTGGGCTTGCTGATTGGGGGGGCCAACCCCTCGGCTCCTCAGGACTCTCCCATGCCTTCCTCTGGTGGGAAAGGGGGAGCTCCGTGCAGGGGGTGCCCCTTCTCCTCCTCCTCCTCCTCCACCACTCCCCAGTGTTCTCCAGGCCTGAGTGACAGGGAGCTGGCAGGCTCTGCGAGGGAGAGACAGCCGCGAAGGGACCAAGCAGATGGTTGGAGGAAGCGTGTCGTGGAATAGCTCCCCTCTCCCTGGGAGGGCCCGTGGTGGCCCTAGTTTGCCAGCCCCCTCCTGGCATGACAGGGGCTGCACTTCTCGCTCTCCCGCCCACCCCTCACCAGCTGAGCCGGTGTCATCTCTGTGCCTTTGGAAGCTGCATCGGGTGGCGTGTCTTACTGCCAACGGTTGCCATGGAAATGCAGGAGTCGGATCTCTTAATGAGGCTGAGCTTATCACAAGCCCCTGCGTGGTGATCATTTCACTCATGTTGGGGAAGTCAGAAGTAGGAATCGAGGCAGGAGGGCGGGCATCTCGACCCATCCTTGATGGGTCAAGTGATTTGGTGGGATCTATTCCAGGTTTTAAACTCTACAGAGACCACCCCGTATTCTGGACTTGACCCCCCCCAAACAGTATCAGCACCGGGGGGGGAGGGAAGCTCACTTAAAGTTCAGACTAAAACCCAGATTAGCTCTATTCCTCCTCACACCTGCAAAACAGGAGTCCTTGCTCCAATTCTCCTGACCCCTGGTCCAGCCCCGTCAGGACGGTGTGTCCCTTTAGAGGGGTGGGAGGTCACACCTGTACAAGCTTCCTCATGTGCAAATCTCCCCCCAAACAAAACAACCCTGGAAAAGTAGCACAGCAAGAACACACAAACCCCTCGAATTTTCTATTTACCGTCCTGTCTTCTTTAAGTCTCCCGGCCGGAGAGGTCAGGTGTCCCCCAGAAGAAGACCCAGCCTGTGTGGCCTTGGGGCACATTTTACACGGGGAGGTCCCAGAGCGACCCCAGACGGAGGGGCTGGCAAACCACTCCAGAGCACTCTGTACCTAGGACCCGCTTGGAAAGTTTGGTGTTACGTCAGAAGCATCTTGCCAGCACATAATGATTCATTTATAATTTACTTCCCATGTCTCAACCTGTGCGGGCCCGGCTGAATTTCAGATCTACTCTTTGAGGGGCCAGATTCCTCCCAGCAGGCCTTACGAAAGGGAAAGGCTCCTTCTGCCTGCCTGCCGCAGGAGGTGGAATGGCCTTAAGCGATCAACTCAATGCACCGATTCCCTTGCGACGGAGGCTGGATCCAAACTGTGTTGCCGACCTGTGTGGAGAGAGCCTCCCCCCCACCCACCCCGACTCACCTGGATGTCTCCTCTGGCTCTGTGCTCAGCAACACCTTCTCCTGGCTTTTGCTGCTGCTGCTGCTGGCTGGGCTGCTTTCTGAGATGGGACCCACATGGCTGATGCTGCAAGAGAGCGACAGACACCCTGGTCATGCTCAATGCCCACCGAGAACCCAGGACACCCTCCGCGGTTCATTCCAAATGGCCGCACACGAGGTGGACGCTGCTGTGTCCTGACATTCTGGTGAAGGAACGGAGCACCAACGCTCAGCCCAAGTGATCTGAACCACTGGGAAGCAACTCTCTTCTACATCTACATGTAGACTGGTACTCAGAACCTTCCCCCTTCTCTTTTGGAGACCACATACTATTCCATGTTCTTCTACTGATAGCTAAGAAGCAGCATGTGATGGCCCGGGCAAGTTAGAATACAGTCACGTCTTTGAGGGACAGCCTACAAGAGTGGCCTGGTGGCGGGGAGTCCCAGGGGCCCTGCCTCTCAAGCTGGGAATGGTGCTGGCTTTGCCCAAATGCCTACCTGACGTTGCAGGAGGAGGTTTCCTTGTGCCGCTTCTGGAACCACGTGTGTTGGGCGCGTCGGCTCTCGGCCTCGCTGACCAGCCCGTCTCCGTGCTGATCCAGCGACAGGAATGTGGCGCGTGCCCGCTCCCTTTCCTTAATCGTCAGCAGGTGCAGCAGGGCATTCTGAGGAAGGAAATGCGGGCTGGCAAGGTGGGCATTCTGCAGCCCAGAGAGGTCTTTCCAGGGCAGCTTCTACAAGGGCACCCGCCGGGTCCTCCTTGAACCAACAGGAACCCCACTGAAAGCAACTGGGGAAACCCCTGGCTTGTCATCCTCAGGCCAGACGGAAGAGGCTACCGGCCCGTGGAAACCGATGCCCCCCTCTCTGCATCTCGAGGTGAGGTCGGAGTTCACCGACTGCAGGCCACCCTATCTGAGAAGGGAACCCTGGGAGAAGAGCAGGCTGCTTCTCGGAGGCAGGGGGGTCTTTGGTCCTCCAGGGCTCGGCAAGGCCAAGGTCCACCTCCAGAAGGAACAGGGCAGGCAACAGGAGAGCTTTGTTCCTCCATATGAGGACCCTGAGAGCCACCGTCAGCCCCAGGAGGTTGTCCTGGGCAGGGCAGCCGCTAACCGTTTCAGGCCTTAAGAGGGCAGCTGCTGCCCACCAACTACAATGCCCAGAATCCCCTAGTGCCTAGTCTACATGGCATGTGTCAATCAAGAAGTACCGTTTTTTTCGTGTATAAGATGCTCCCTTGTATAAGACTTTTCTAACCCAAAATTTCTTTCCTTGCAAGAAAGTGGTGAGAGAAGGCAGGGATCAAAGTGCTTTGGTACCTGCTTTCCTTCTCCATTTTCTTGTGAGGAAAGTGCTTTCCCCCGCCACTTTCTTTGCAAAAAGCTGCTTTCCCCCTACACTTTTTGCACTGAAAATGGAGGGGGAAAGCTATTCCTGCTTTCCCTCTCCACTTTCTTTGCAAAACGTGTAGGGGGCTCTTCATATGGGGGCTCTTCATATGGCTAGATGTTTTGCAAAGAAAGTGGAGGGGGAAAACAGCTTTTTGTAAAGAAAGTGGAGGGGCAAAGCAGGAATTGCTTCCCCCCTACATGTTCTTTGCAAAACGTGGAGGGGGAAAGCAGGGATCAAAGCGCTTTGATCCCCCCTTACTTCTGTGTATAAAACTACCCTCCATTTTTCCTGTAATTATTTTAGGAAAAAAGTGTCATTTCATACATGGAAAAATATGGTAGCTTTGCCAGCACAGGGCTGAACTTGTAGAACAAGCCATTAAAAAAGCTGCCAGTCACAGGCATAAGAAAGACACACACCCCGCCTCCGGACGACAGGGGCCTGGCTTGGCTGGGCAGGGGTTTGGCCAGAGGCTTTGGAAAGCCAAGAGAACAAACCCCTGGGCTGGGTGGCTCAGTGGGCAGGGTCAGCAGAAAACAGCTCCCCTTGGGGTTCCAGACTCCTCCCCGTCACCCCCGTAGCAAGTGGAGAGCACCCACCTGTGTGCGCGTTCTCTGCAGCAGGAGGAGCGACTCGTGGGAGAGAAAATCTGCCCACTCAATCTGGCCCTTCTTCTCGGGGTCCAGCGCCGCAAACTGCAGGGTGTCCCGCTCCTCCTCCGCCTCGTCCCTGGGCTGCTCGCCTTCTCGCTGGCCGGCCAGGTGTTTGTAGCTCAAGAAATCCTCCAGGCCCAGCCTGCTCTCTGTGGGGCCACCAAACAACACAGGGTCAACCCAGGAGAAAGGGTGGTGGCGTGTGCACGCGGTCGGGCTTTCTGCTGTTGCCATATGAAGAGCCCCCCGAACTGTTCTGGGGGAATTGCAGGGAGGAAAGGGGCCACGCTGGCTGCCGGCGACTTACCAGGGGTGATGTTGCATTGCTGGAAGGCTTCGGAGAGGCTGCTCATCTCCTCCTCTGTGAGTAGCAGGTTGAGGTTGTCCTGGGGTTGAGATGGGTGGCAAGAGGGGTGTGTGGGGGAGAGGGAAAAGGATAATTTTTGTGTGTGTGTGGCACATGTGTCTAGTTTTGCAAACAGATTGTGCAACTGAAAGAAATGCGCATGCTCAAGCACCTGCCCGGCGTAATTTAGCCTCTTTCTGAAGGGGAAAAGCAATACTCACCAAGGAATGTTGGAAGCCTGCTACATGCTAAGAATGGCTTACTCATACATTTATGTATTTATTTAGCAGAGTTGGGCCCAAACAGGATGTGCATAGCCTGTGATGAGTGAAAGCGCACTTTATGGTGCTGCCTTTTCCATCTGCAAAATCAGACTCCAAACAGGATGTTTCCAGAGAAACAGTCGTGTTTCAACATTTCAGCATATCTAATAGCAGCTAAACAAAAAACTTATTTAAGGAAGCAGACCCTGATCCTCAAACATTGACATGGAAATACTGTAAATCCATTTGTTTCTGCCTTTTCCTTATTATACAAGCTTTAGAGAAATCCTGTGATTAAGGTCCTGAAGACAAATCATGAATCAAGGGAAGCTCATTTGCACATTCTGTGAAGTGAGAAAAGCTCCTACTGTGAACTCAGAGACTTTCAAAAGTTAAGGAACTTCCTGTTCTAAGCACATGGTATCTATAATGTCTGTTTCATACTCCTTAACCTCAACACCACCAAAAAATTGTCCACTTGATAAAATTTTGAGGTTAGAACGGCACAACTGTGAATATTTACAGGGAAACCTGAGTTAGCTGGATCTGCACGAGAGTCCTTCTACCCACCCCATGAATTAAAAGTGCAATCTATGCTCTCTGACCAATGACTAAAGCGCAATAAGACACTTTTTTCCAAGTCAGCGTGTACCAGATTGAGTTGTTCCAGCCTAATACAAACTCAGAAGCTGATAGGATCCAATTATTGGAAAATGGTGTTCCTACAGGAGTAATCACCAGAGCCTGGAAAAGTTATTTTTATGGCCTACAAGGCCCACACTCCCCAGCAAGCGTGACCATGAGTTGCTGATGGGAAGCTCAACCGCAGCCCGCTGGCTCAGTCCCTCCCACCTGTGACGTCTTCCCTGGTCATTAGCTTTCTCCAACCCTGGGGCCAGCCAGCTGTGTCAGACTACACCTCCCATCCTCCCCATGCAAACCCCATCATCCCCTCCCCACCGGGAAGGCAGAAGCCAAACACCAGCCTTCTCCATTCCTCCCGGCACCCTCGGCTTACGCAGCAGTGGCAGCTCCAGCCGGTCTCCGTGTGGGCCACCTCGAGGACCTCGGTGGCATCGCCCTCGGCCAAGAAGCCCATGCGGTGCAGGCAGCCGTCGTGGTAGACCCTCGTGCACACGCGGCAGGGCAGGAGGCTCTCTGCCGTCCACACCTCACACACTTCACACATCTCGTCATTGGTTACCTGGGAGGGTGGGGGTTGGTGGAGGTGGGGGAGAGAAGAAGGTGGCAGGGCGGGCTCAGCACAATCAAGACGGGGTTCCCCTCCCGGCACCTTCCTGGAGCAGGAGAGACCTAAGGGGCCCTTTCCAGGCCGGGCCCCCAGCCCAGTCTTAAAGCAAAGCAAAGCAAAGCAAAGCGGGTGGCTTATATACCGCCCCCCCCCATAGCACTTAAAGCACTCTCGGGTGGTTTACAAGCTCATGATGCAGAAGCCATATCGCCTCCCTTCCCACAGCCAGCTGGGTCCTCAATTTCCCGACCTTGGAAAGATGGAAGGCTGAGTGAACCTTGAGCCCGCTACCTGGGATTGGACCTCTAGTCCTGTCAGCAGAGTTTTGGCTGCAGGACAGTCGTCGAGCCACTGCGCCTGGGGGCTCGTCTTTAAGCCCCCGCTCCCTTAAAACCACAGCAACGGGCGCTGGGGGGGGCGCTCCAGGAAGTGGGGAGCGTCCCGAGCTGCCCTGCAGTGCGCCAGGCCCTTAAGATTCTTTCCCAGCCTTGCCTCGAGAGCCTCGGTGTTCACCCACGCCTCCCGCCCCTGGACCAACCGGCCCTGACCCAGCTCGGCTTCCGAAACCAGATGGGACGGGGAATGTTCCCGGGCATCCCGGCCCGGAAGGTTGCTCTCGCGGCGCGGCTGAGGCCGCACCTGCGACCCAGCTGAAGGAAGAGCCGCGGCCGCCGCCCGGGCAGGTCCTCTCTTGCAGATTCTGGCGCTGCTTCTCAGGAGGAGGCTCCCGGGCGGGTAAAACCAAGGGCTCCAATGTCACTCTAGGGCTACCTACCCGCACCAGGGGCTGTGAAACAGAACGGCGTAACGCAAAGGCCCGGCAAGAAGGCGAAAGTTGGCGCGCGCGCCCGCGGGGGGGGGGAACACCTGGAAGAACCTCCCGGGATGGC